GAGGAGGGACCACCCCAGAGCTGGATCCTCTGGGGTGAGGACCCTTAACCCTGCAGGCAACAACCCCTCGACCATATTACTGTTTTTCATGACCCTTTCTCACTAATTTTCTATAAATATATTTTTATATAATATGTAATATATATTATTTATAATTACATATGTATAAATATATATGTCTGAAATCAGGATGCAGGCAAGTTCTAGTTTATTTAGCAGTATTTTCTTTCTTTTTCTTTCACATGGAACAATTGATGGCATTTTAGGTATGCTAAAACACAATGCCCCTCCCCTCCTAGACTGAGTCTCGAATCCTCCGATTGTGAAATAGAGCGATTAGAACGACTTGCATTCACAGAAGAGGAAACGGAGGCTCAGTGAGGGACAAGGGACGGGAATGTCCCACCTGGAGTTCCACGGCACTAGGCAGGGGTTTCCCCATGAGTCCCTGCAGAGTAAGGGTGTGGAGACCAGATGGCGGGAAATCATTAGCTTCTAGAAGAAAGTCCTCTGTGCTAGTCACTGGACTGGGGCTCCCCTGAAACTCAGGATAAAGGGAACAGACGCTTCCTGGTGAGCAGGGATGGGGGAGGTGGCTGACAGTGTCGCCAGTTCCCATTTAGGAAAGTGTCTGCCTGTGGCGGGGTAAGGGATGGCAGCCAGTGGGTTTCCAGGGTGAGGGTCTGAGAGCCTAGGGAAGGTGAGTCATCAAGATCCAGGCTTGGACAGCCCTGTGATTGTTGCTAAAAAACCCTCCTGCGAGCTGCTTCCGCCTGGAGGCAGGTCACACAGTCCTCACCTCCCCCAGGCAGCCCGCAGGCCAACCAAGGGGGACAGGATGGCCATGGACTAGACTCTGAGTCCTGGCAAGCTTTGAACATGGGAATTGGATATTTCACAAATGGGAAGGGTGAGGCCCGGAGAGGGGAAGAGACTTGCCAAAGGCTCCCTGACAAGGGGTATTCAGGCCTTATTTTCCAGTATAACGACAGTGACAGCTCGCATGGACGGAGGACCCCCTATGCTCCAGGCCTGTGCTAAGTGCTTTACACATGATTCTATGAGGAAGCCCCTAATTATTACCCCCAATTCACAAGCAAAACAGATGAGGCTCAGAGAGGTTTTAAGCAATTTTCCCTAGATCACGGTAGGTGGTGGAAGAAAGGCAGTGGAACTGCAGACCCAAGCTCCTTCCACAACCAGTGGACCTCTTGTAAGGTTCTCCAGAGCATAGATGTCCATCGTCTGGCACACTGGGGGACCCTCACCCCTCCTCCGGCACCAGGACTCTCAAGGACTCAGACCTGCCCTTGGAAGCTCTCTGGCTGGTGGGGAGCCACTCGCAGGCACCTCACTGCCAGGAGCGCACTTAGAGCGTACTCCTACACACCCTCAGGCCGCAGGAGGAGGGGGCCTTGGCACCAGGCCCTTCTGACCCCGTGGATCCCCTCCCAGGGTCAAAGGACGCTGGTGGGAGTGGCCCCCAGAACCCAGGCTCTGCAGGCCCCAGGCTGAGTCCCGTTTACCCAGCTCTGGGCCAAGGTGAGCAGAACCTACTGGCTTCCTCCCCCTGCTGCGGACAACCTGGGGTGCTCTTAGGTAGGAGTCATTAGAGAGAAAGCAGGCTGTTCGTCTGTCTGTCTGGTGGGAGAACGAGAGGAGATGGCTGTCCACACAAGGTAGGGGAGGGAGAGGGTATCCGTGTGTCCCAGGCAGGAGAGTGGGAGCTGTCCAACTGTCTTTCAAAATGGCCAAAAAAAAAAAGAGAGAGAGAGAGATGACCCTAGGTCTGATGGTCTGGGATCGAGGAAGTAGCTTGGGCATAGGTCGAAACTGGGAAGGAGCTGGTCTCTTCTTCTGTGCGTTCTCCTTAACCTCAGCCCCCTAGAACGGGACAGGAAAGGACTATGCGTTTCTGGCAGGGAGAACGTTCTGCGGGGCAGAGGGCTTAGAGACCCTCCGGTGTCGGAGATGCCAAGGCAGAAAGCGTCCATGGGGAGGGCAGCCTTCTGTCCTACACAAAGCCATTGGTTTGTCCGAGACGTGGCCGCACAGATGGTGAGGAATCGTACGGCACGCCTGTCCAGAAAGGGCAGCTCACAGGAGGCGGCCCGCCGCGCCTGGACACGGGGACAGACCGCAGCTGGCACACATCTGTGCGCGGGGCCTGGCCGCACAACTCCGGGGGTTGTGCGGCCAGGCAGAGTGCGCCGCCTAGTGGCTCCTGGAACTGCTCCCGCCCCGGCGGCTTCGGCGACCTCCGGCTGGGGACCCAAGCGCCAACAACCCGGGTCCCCTGGTTCCGGCGCCCACCGGCAGCGAGCGCCCTCCCGAGGGCTGGAGCCGCACCGGGTCCTGTGCGAGTGTGCCGAGACGCACAGGAGCCCCATTTTCAGGAAACCCGTTTGTAAACCCGCCGTAGGATGAGAGGGAGAAATCAGGCGGAGGGACAATTAAGGGCACGGGTGCAAACCGAAACCACTAGACGAATCGAATTTACAAACCTCAGACGCAGCGGATCCTGGCCCCACAGCCGCCCCGGGGCAGCACGCGTCGCCCGCCCTCCCTGGCCCCGGGCCCTACCTGGCCACGACGCGGCAGGCCTTTCGGCGGGAAGCTCCCAGAGGTAGGACGTGCCAAGGCTCCGGTCCCTCGCTCTTTCTGGTTCTGCTGCTAGTGCCAGCGCTCCCGAGAGCGCGCGGGCCTTGGCCCCGGCGATCTGCAACTTTGAGGTGTAGGCTCTATAAAACAGTCCAGTAAGGGACCCTCGCCGTCCCCGCTTTGGAAATGACGTGAGGGGCTGATATGAGGCTCCGAGAGGGGTAGGGACCAGCTCTCTAGGTAGTCGAAGTTGGGCCAGAGCCCATCCGCCCTGGAGCGCACGCGGGGCTTGATTTCGTTTGGCGACGAGGAAATGGCGCGCACCGGGCGGGGGTCAGATCCAGGGCGGGATCTTTCGGCCACCATGGGATCCTATGCTTCTTTGCTCCCGAGGCTTGGAATTCGTCGTTTTGCACCTGTCGAGCGCTGGCAACAACGAATATCCAGCCCCATCTCCAAAACGGCAGAGAGACTCGGCACGCATTCGTTCCCCAGACTCCAGGGAGCTCACCTAGGGCGATAAGCCAGCGTGAATGGATGCTGGAGCTTTCTAGGTCCCCTCCCCGCTGTAGCCTGTCCCCAGGCCCGCTCGCCTGGCCCAGGAGGCGGGAGAGGAAGGGATTGTTTGCTATGAAGCGCCGGGAGCGGTTGGGCCGCGCGGCTGAGAGTGGAAGCGAGGACCCAAGGCCAGTGAGCAGACAGTGCCTCGGCAGAGCCGTCTGCGTCCCTGCGGCGCGGCCGGAGCACGCCGCCCGGGAAGACGTGGGTTTGGACCCCCGGGGGCCAGTTTGCACCCACTTGGAGGAAGAAAATTCCCTCTTTTGGAAGCCGGGCCCTTAGCTTTGCGTCCATTCCCGCGTTCTCTGCACAGTTATCTTCTCGCAACGGACTCGTGTCCTCTTCCACGATGCAGAATCGTGGTTACATGCGCGGGGGGGAAAACTCAAGGGAAAACACTCGCGTTTTTCAGGCCCCAACGTGTTTTTCAAAGAGCCACAGGCCGCCGCAACGAAGAAGAAACGCGGCGAGGCCTGCGCGATCCTGAAAGTTGTTTTGAGGGCAGAGCGGAGAGGAACGGGGTTAGTCACCCCCAAGCCGGATGCAGGCCCGTAGGGGACACCCTTCCCTCTGTCCCCAGGTTGGCACTGGGGCCGCCGAGGCCGGGACCAAAGCTACACGGGGCTGGGAGCTGCAGAGGCCGCTGGCGTGCATAATCTCATGTGCGGTGGAGGCTCTCGGGTCAAAATAATTTGCGGAGCGCAGGGGCGCAGGAAGGGGGGTAGTGAGAAACCTCTTTGGGGCAGCTCCCCGCTCAGTGTCACCGGCCTTGGAGCACCCGCGGCTGAGGGTGCAGGCATCACAAGCTGAGAGCAGCTCGAACTGGGGAGGCCCGGGCGCGGGCAGCGGGGAAGGACGAGAGGAGGGGAGCTGCAGCCCCCGCGCCAGGGAGACGCGGCCCCGGAGACAGCGGCACGTGAGCCTTCTGTAGGGCCCGCACGTTTTAAACAAATTTTAGCATCGGCCCCAGCTCCCCAGAACCCTAAAGGAGGCCTGGGCGGTCGCGCGGGGGCCCCCAACCCCGGGCGTCCGCGGGGCGGGGCCTTCCGCCCCTCCCCGTTGGGCGGCCTTCGGCTGTCCCCGTTCCTCCCCCGCCGGCGCCGCCGAGGTGCCCGCGATGGGGGCTGCGATTGGCTGTGCGACGCGTCGCTCGGGC